TTCAGTGAGGAAGGATATGAGCAGACAGAGCAGTTTGAGCAAAAAAAATGGATAACGGAACAAAAGAAATACCTGCCGGCGCGACGACGCGGAAAGGGTGGGAGCAGGCCGCTGGGGTTAGGGCGCGATGGGAGTAGGTACCGGATAGCAGGGGCACGAGTCGAGAGATGAAGCTAGCGGATGTCGTTTTGAAGCTGGGAGGGTCATCTAAGACGGTAATAACAGACGTATATGCAGGTCGAACGGAGGCTTTACCGTACAGATTGGATTGACGGAATTAAAACGGAGAAATAAGCTCCTTTAATAGAGCACAAGCCTTAAAACACATTGTACAACCTCACTAAGCATGATGATTACACCAACATTTTTTTCATCCCTAAAATATCCTAACCCTCATTGGCTATTATAAGTTTTTATAGATATAACAAAAATGTAAGTTATCACACAAATAAGTAAAAGCATAAATAAATATTTAAACTTTCATGAGTAAAACACATTTAAACTGTTGAAGACCTCCATATCAATTTAAGTGCTTTGCAGTTTTTCTGAAAATCCTTTATCATCGCATATTGAAACTTTTTTTTTATCGAAGGGGGCTTATAGTGATAAGATAACATTCACCTAGGGTGAAAGATAACAAAAGGACCACATGTAACCATCCGCTCTTGGCCGAGATTATGAGTTCATCGACAAAGCAATATAACTTGCTAGACCTAACTTGGGCAAAATAAAGCCAACGACGATTACCGTAGACCTCTCATCCTCCAAACCTAAAACAAGAGTTTTACAGCAAAAGAAAGAGTAAAAACAAAGCATAACAGTCTGACCGTGGAAATAACAGCTAAAACAAAACAATAAAAAAAACGGCACTCGTTCTCCATATCAGATCATCAAGTGAACCACCGGCGGGTCTAGGAATCCCGACCCGCCGCCTCCCCATTTTTTGGCCCATCTAGCGACATGCCCTCACCAGTTGTAGCTTCTTTTGACTGGCCTTCCGAAATCCTCCTACGCTTCGTCTCACCTGACGTCTCCTCCATGTCACCCGTCCCACCCTGCTTTGACACACTTGCACCTGTCTCTGCCGAGTACTCGCCCCGAGATCAGTCTTCCACTGTTGCCCAAGTCCCCCGGAGCTTGAGGAATCATTCACTAGTCATTTGTTAGTCCCTCTAGGGCTAGTCTTCACCCCACCATCAGCCCTAAGCTCAACCCCAAAGGATTTCTATAGCACAATCCCCTCCTCATACTTCAAGGGGCAAAATTTGTCTGAATGGCCCAATCACCCCACACATGAAACAGAAATTAGGTAACTTTTCATATTTAAAGTCTATCCAATGTCTAATTCCTTCTTTCTTCAAACTAGTGCCCTTCTTTAGGGGTTTCCTCACGTCCATACAAACTCTTATGCGTAAGTATGGCTTCAAGTTTCCTTCGAATTGATTCTTATCAGAATTAATAAAAGTGTCTATATAGTTCCCAATTCTCATGGCAGAACCCAGATTTCTAAATTTATAAGGAACATTGTGAACATGTACCCAAAACTCAGCCTCATACGAATTCATCCTTTCAGAAATATCATCTGGCTGAACAGCTATCAATATAATTAAATCTCTTTCAAACAACCTAGGTACATCTTCAAGTACACGATTCATATCTAGAACATGAATAAAATTGAAAAGGTGCCTTTTATCTCCGATTTCCTTGATGGTCACTCCTCTTCTGGGGAGCCAAATTGAAGCCAGCAGATCTTGGAACACCGGAAGCTTGATTTTCCAGTCCGTGGTCACAACCCCGACCACCGGAAACACCGTTGGCTTGCCGGCAGCATCCATCTCCCTTGCTTCTTCCTCATCAAAATTGAGTTCATTATCTTCATCTCTGATAGCAATCTTCTTGTAGCTGTTGACGATATCATCCATCAACAATATCCCCCCTGCTTCGGGCCTTCCCCTTCTCTTCTTTATCGGACGAAGTAAAAAACAAAAAAAAATGACGAACCTTGTTCCGATCGAATCACCCCAGCAGATCCTTGGACAGATCGCCGAAACCGGGAGAGAGGCCGTTCTTTGTCCTCGACGGAAACGGAAGAGTGACACTAGCGGTGTGAAGCCCTAGAGAGAGACCGCATATTGAAAACTTTAAACCAAACATTCGTCACTCTATAAATTGTAAAATACAATTATTCAAAATAGGTAAAAAAAAATATGATATGTATTTGTTGCGTTATCGAAATCAACCTGAATTTGAGTTCCAAAAATGTTGGATCAATCTGGTCTTATGGAGTGTTTGCAAATGTTTTTGTTTTAAAAAATACTACATTTTTAAGTGATTTTGGAAAAGGTGATTAATAATCAAAGTTGATAGCAGGACGTAGCTAGGGAGGGGCCAACCTTGACCCTGATCCAGCCCAATTTTAAAAATGTCTATATCTTAAGGTAAAAAAATCCATGTAAAATTTTCCCAAAAAATATTCTTTGTACCGGCCCAATACCCTAGCTCCGCCCCTGGTTGATAGTGTTTGACCAAAAAATGATTTTGAAAAGCAAAAGTTTATAGTGTTTGGTAAAATATGTGATTCTTATGCAATATAAAAAATAAAAAACAGTTCTCAACCAAAAGCTGAAAAACTTTTTTTTAAATAAAAGTTGTCACTTGAAAACATTAATTTTAGAGCCCGTTTGGTAGCACGAAAATCGGCTGATTTGGCTAGTTCTGCTGAAATTTATGAAGTTCTGGATAAAGTGGCTGCATTGGTTGATTCTGCTGATTTAAGAAAAAAATATTTTTAAAATATATTTTATTAATAAAATAAAGAAAAAGTTATATGTAAAAATAGCTAAAACGTTCATCTACAGTAACTTAAGTCAATACAGCCAGAAAAGTAACTTTAACCTTACTTTTTCTACTTATTACACAATTCAGCGCGCAAAAACAAAAATTATGTGTTTAGTAAAAAAATTGGCTGATAAGCCGGAAACAGTGTTGACAAACGACCTCTTAACTTTTTAAAGTCAAAACAAAGAGCGTTTTTTTAAACGTTTGCAAACATGGGTCTCATTCCGGTACGGAATTTTCATAACTAAAGGTATTACAAACGTTAAAACTCGTCTAGGGCCGGAACGATCCTAATGCCACCCCTCTTATTTATACGGAGTATATACGGAGTATTTTATATACTCCGTACTTTGTATGGATGTACAGGAAGCTCCATATGTGAGCAAAATGTGCCATATATTTCAATAATTTATTTGACTACTTTTCCGATCGAATTTTGAGCTGAAATTTGGTATGGATAAACTAGACTTGATGAAGAACATGCTCAAAAAATTTTATCAAAAAATTCCACCCGGAAGGACCTCTAATGACTTTGTCCGTACGGAGCCCCTGTATATCCATATGTACATGATCATTCCTCTCGTATGATGATATTTGGACATCTCACGTAAGTATGTTTCAAATTTTCATCAACATTGGTGAATAATTATTTTCCTGTGTTCTGTCAAAAAATTATTTTCCTGTTTTTAATACGAACTTAAATATTACTTCTTGTTTATCCAAATTGTCTGCTCAATCAATTTTTATTTCTTTCTTGTAGTGTATCAAATATTTTCATCTTATTTAAACTCGTTTTTCAAGATGACAAAATGACATGTATTGATGTACACTAAGAGTTTCCTTATACAAAAATATTACTTATACTTTTTGGCATAAATATGACAAATCATTGTTATATGATTAATTGTGCCGAGTCATTATTGTGTTTCAGAGTGACAAGTCACCGGTACGATAAGTCAATAAGAACTAGTAATCGAATATGTCAATTTTGGAGAATTAGTAATATTCATCGGAAAATGTCTTTTTAGATTCATTATTAGATGTTATAATTCGAAATACTCGGTGTATAATTTTTGTTATTAATTTATACGTAGTACATGAGCAGGAATGAATTGAAGTTTACTACGTGCAGGCGGTGCAGCTAGATAGAATGCGGAATGCAACACAAAAATAGTTGATTGTTATATGAAGAATGATTCGACATTTTTTGGAGTACTCCATGATAACGAAGGAAAATTTTTGTTCTGCACAAAATTAGTACACAAATTATACACACCTCCTAGTTAGGGGCCTAAGTAGGACACTGGACTGGACTGAGCCGATACAAAGAATATTTTTGAAAATTTTTTACACGAAATTTTTAAGACATTTTTAAAATTTGGGCTGAACCAGGGCTGACCCTCCCCTAACTACGTCTCCTAGTTACTTGTGTACACAGATAATTATTTAAAAAATGACAGTAATTATGTCAAAATATTTATAATTTGTATACCAATTTTGTGTGGATGATTCATTAATGAAAGCTGGTACGTCAAAACACACGTACCATTTGAAATGAAACAGCGTATTTATTTATCGCATGAATGGCAGTGAGGGAGCTGATAATCATAGCCCGATAGACACAAAAATAGGTACACACTTGTTACTTGTAAGCAATCTCAGTGTATGAATAGTCAATACACTTCACGTCATAAGTCATTTTCAAGCATAGTTAATTGTGGTAATGACCTCAGCCCTTGCTTCATTTAACTACTGCTCTTTTTCTCATTTGCTTGGTTGGATATTAGCTGTCAAATATGGCCATCTTTTTTTCTTTGCATACTTCTTCCCGTTTGAATTTTCATACAATACTAGCAAGGCACGCGCCATGCGCGAGGCTATATGCCCAATCCAAAGTAAAATGATGTTTAAGTAGCAATTGAATATTGAATTTTAACGATGGCAGAATTATGAGTTAGGAAAGAAATGTTTCAATTGATTTTGAAGGAATGGGCTAGGAATTGATCACGAATGTATATAAGTCTAGCGGCTAGTCCCATAGCTAATGTGTTTGTCAGATTTTGAAGGAATAATCAAGGCAACTTCCCTAATATTTGAGCAGATACTAAGGCACAGATCATATGAATAATTTGAGCAGCGGTGATGATAATCAACAATAGGTATTTTACAAGACAAAAGAGCAGTTTGAATTTTACTAACCATAAGTATATTACATATTACAATAAGTTTGACAGGCATATGCAGCCAATTACACAAAAGGGACAGCATAGTTAGTGCAAAAACATCTATATTTATATATATGTAAAAGTAGAGGGGCAAGCCATGGTCTACTTTCCAATCAATTATAGGCATAAGTTTCATCTTGCATCAAAAGATAATATACACATGGGATACAAAAGACCCATAAGTTAATGAGTTAAAACAATCACTCCAGAACAAAGAGCAATAATGTCAATCATGGGGAAGATGAGTAATCCGAGCTTGTTTTTGTTGCAGAGGAGTAGCAGCCAAGTGTTTCAACAAGATGGGGAAACTGGTGGGAGTGTTGTTTTTGGATGAGCAAACCATAATGCAATGATAATTTATGATAATTTATGATAATTTGGGGTGGGGTTGCTTGAAGAGACAAAATAATTTATTCATGTTCATTTTAACTAAGAAGCTCATCATCATCACCATCATTACCTTAAAGGCTCCCACACCTTCGATGGGGAAAGGGGAGTCGGATGTACGCACTACGCAGTCTTACTCCTATACTAAAGCATAAGGGAGACTGTTTCCGAATGAACCATAGAAGCTAAGTAGCTAACACCTCATAATCCAAAATCCTTATAATTTTAAAAGCATTTTTAAAATTAAGCACAAAGTCAAGAGTCTTCAACTATGTAAGAAAAAGAAAAATATTTCCCTACTAAATATGGAACACATGTGTATTAATCACTTAAATCTTCAAAAAGTCTATCCGTTCACTAAAATGAGGCATCACAAAAAATATTAGAACCAATGGGAGAACCTAAGTGCATCAATTTATCATGTGACCCAGATTTTTTCTGGAATAAATCCCCACAATATAAATTTATAAACTATAAAATATGATCAGTATCCCAGACTGTAATTAAAAACTTTATTAGTAAAAATCGTTTTTAGACTGGACTTTTTTGAAGAAAAAAACTGTTTTTTGTAACTGGAATATATTTATGTAGTATAAATTAATTTCTAGACTTTCACATAGTTTGTATTAACTTTATAATGAAATTATTATTTTTTACCTATTTACATGCACAATAACTATTTTAATTATTTATTGCACTAAATAAAAAAAGTTTTTACCACTTAAGCTAATGAATCATAAGCAATTAATCACAAAACTGAGCAGGCAGACTCCTACGTCAGATTAGAATCTCAAATACATGACTCCCACTAAAACTGTTGCTAACTTGCTACTCATCAATGGCCCCTAAAGCTATACTATAGCCAAAAGTCCATAACACATTTTCTTCATAAAGGAACTGAAGAAAGCAGCTATATAATCCGGAGTAGCATCTTTCAAAAGACACTATTCCAAATGAGTACACTGTCAAGCAATTCCAAATGAGTACACTGTCAAACAATTTCAATTAAATATAGCAGTTCTTTGACAAAAGACCATCCCAATATGGGTTTTCCATCTACTATTAAACTATGTATACGAGGGAACCTCTGCTATCCACTTAAAATGTAAGGATTGCTTAAGAAGACACAACTCAAATAGGCTATTATTGTACTCTTCAATCTTTATCGCAGTTAAAAATCTACCTGCCAAAGAAGAATGGGATAAGGCTCAAATTGGACACTGTGGTTTCATCAGAATCTCATATTGGACACTAAGGTTTCAAATGGACCAAATTAGACACTATGGTTTCATATGTATCTCATATTGGACACTAAAGTTTCAAAATTCAATATAAGTGAGTGTCCAATTTGATCTTTATCTAATATAAGTGAGTGTCCAAAAACTATGAATTATGAAACTTAGTGACCAATATGAGATATATATGAAACCATAGTGTCTAATTTGGTCCATTTCAAACCTTAGTGTCCAATATGAGATTCTGATAAAACCATAATGTCCAATTTGAGCCTTATCCCAAGAAGAATTAAAATACATGGGCAATGAATTACAATAACAATAGATAAATTCACACTGAGTTCCAACACTTACCTTTAAATCTAGTTTGGTTTTATGGATTATAGTTAATCCATTTTTGGATGAATGCCAAATAGACTGTTAAATACACAAAGTATAGTGTTATCACAAAGCCCGGGCTAATTTTATGGAATTATAAACATGAATGCTCCCATATGTGAATGCATCGAGTCCCTCTATGGCTCTATGGATTGTTTACTTTTTTTAGCTATTTTGTCCTAGATGTGCATTTTTCAAGCAAACAAATAGAAAAATAGCAGTAGCACTTTTTATTCTTAAACTCTAGGCCTGGCTCAAACGGAAAGCAACAAAAGGAAAACAGTTGTGGACAATTATTAGTATTCAACAGACATACATGGATTCTGAACTTCTATTAAAAACCCAAAGCAACAAAAAAAGTAAATTTATCATAGATAATAAACCTCCAAACAAACCAGCTACCCAATTCCATCCCCAAATGATAGAAATCCCTACCTAAAGTCCCTGAACAAGTGAAAACACAATAGCAAAAGCTAAATCCGGAATAAAAACACAATAGGAAGAGCAAAGCAATTCAGGTCTGCAGACATTAATGGCGATTTTCAGAACATTCAAAACAAAATCAATGGCACCTACCAAGAACTGAATGGACAAAGGAGATAAAATGATTGTGACCTGGCCTTCAGTATACAATAATCCATAAGTAGGGATGTTCTGAGCATGATGAGTGTGGTGATCAACTGGAACAACGCGCCAGAGGTCGGACGGAAGGAGAACAAGAAGGGGAGCTCCAATAGTGGGGCTGACAAGATAGCAGTAGGTTTTTTTTTTACCAAGAGATAACAGTAGGTTGAGGATGGGCATACAATGGAATGATTTCTCATGGAATAATTTTTTTAAAAAACGGGAAATAAAATGTCAGACGGACGTGAGGAATAGAATCGACGGAAGTGTGTTTAACGGAAAATGGGCGGAAAAAATGAAACGGCGTTCAAGTGCCCTTTTATATAAGTAGGAGATGGAGACATGGAGTACGGAGGAGTATATTTTTTCTATTTGTCTTGCTTATGCTTTTTCTTATTTATTTAGATCAGATTTTTTAATTTAAGATCAAATGAGATTAAAAAAGATTTAGATTAGAAAGATTCAAATCAAATTAGATAAAAAGAAATAAATTAAATCAGAACGATTCCGACATAGTTTATTACTTTTATTAATAATAGTGATAATAATAATAATATTATTACTATTATTCTTCTTATTATTATAACTATAGTTATTATTACTATTCTAATTGTTGAGATTAATATTGATGGAGTATATGGCCCAGGAACCCCCGGCCCATAGACTCCTACTTCTCCTACACAAGTCCGTTGGGCTCAGGGAACAACTCAGGCCCAAATACAACGGCCCAAGCCTCAAAGCAGCCCAGAATACACGCTGGGGTGCCTTCGGCCTCCTTGGCCGAAGGCCCCAAAACTCACAGAATAGCCTTCTCTGGCACAAAAAGCTACTGGGAGAAAACGGCAAAAAACATGAGCCTTCGGCATTGTGATGCCCTCGGCATCATAGCCTTCGGTCACATAAGGCCTTCGGCTACATGAGGCCTTCGGCTACACAGGGGTCCTGGTCACATGGAGCCCTCGGCTACACCAGGAGCCTCCGGCCAGACACGCTCAATCATCGAAGATTCCTTTTGGAGACAGCCAACCACCGCATTTAATGTCACGTCACATCCGCCAGCCGCATTCAATGCGGTAAACGTACCACTGCCGGTGCCAACCGGCTGATGTGACCCTTCGGCCGTTGGATTGCTGACACGTGTACTCTCATCGCATTTATTGCTGCTATAAATAACAGCTCATTTCTCCTTGTAATCGACATCATCTACATCTCAACTCCACACGCTGAGTTCATTTAATAAAATCGACTCTCTCTCCTCCTATTTGCTCTGACTTCTCTCTAGTTATTCCCGCAATAACCCCTCGGATAAGATACCCCCCGGGTAGACTATCCATCATTTGGTGCTCTCGTTGAGAGGTCTGAACAATCAAGTAAGAAACCCTCCCCCTCTACCAAACACAAAACACTTACCAAAAATGGGAAGAACCACTCGTGCCCAATCCAAAACCCTTGAGGAGAACCTTGTAGCCCCCGGCGAAACCAACGGGGCTGAGGCCTCCAACAGGCTCTTGGTGCCCGAGGGTGGCATCATCCTTGAATTGGAACAGGCCACTGCTGACCTCCGTCAGCAGCTACAGAAGAATGCCCCTGATGCCCGCATTGGCCTTGATAATCGAAGGAGGGATCGGAGTGAGAACCAAGTTCCCCCTCCGGCCTCGGCCATCGATCTTCAGGCTGCCTTTGCGGCCTTTGTTCAAAACATGGCTCTCAATTCCGGAGCCCTCGCCTCTCAGGCACCCCTTCAGCCCTATGCTGGAGGGAATGTTATCAACCTACCACCACTCCCTCCTTTGTTCAACAACCCTCCCCCGGGGGTTGGCAACCGCGAGGGGGTCATAGCGCAGGATACCGCCTCCCAGGAGGCTCAATCCAGGGACAAGCGCCCCATGATGAAGGAGAAACCCCGGACCTCTGCACTGGAGAGGCTTGGGGGAGCTCCTGGGCACCGAGGGGTCCAAGACCGACTCGGGAGACAAGCGCTTAGCAGACCACAGGAAAGCGGAGCCTCCGCTTTGGGTGCCGAGGGCGTGCCTTCCCCCCGAAACAAAGGCAAAGCTCTCCTCCATGCCGATGACGCCAGGCACCAAATCACACAGGCGCAGTCCTTCCGGGCCAACTCCCAAGGGGTTGCCCCGAAGGATCCCAAAGACGAGATCATTGAAGCCCTCCTCCGTCAACTTGAGGAGAATCGTCAGGTACCCCCGACGGCGTCCACGGTGAGGCCAGATCCAGAGTACGCTGACCTCCGGGCGCAAGTGGAAGAAATGAAGCGTAAGCTCGCCGAAGGCTCAGGCGAGCCCCTCATTCAACTCCGCACTAGAACACCCTTCACCCCAAGGGTGTTGGCGGCCAAAATCCCCCACAAGTATCGGGGGCAACCTATCAAACCGTATGAGGGGAAGACGGATCCCCAAGAACACTATAGCCGCTATCAAAATAGCATGATGATGATGGGGGCCTCGGATGAATACTTATGCCGTTGGTTCCTTTCCACCTTGGAGGGACCCGCGTATGAGTGGTTCAACCGGTTGCCCGAAGGCAGCATTGATTCTTGGCAAGAACTTGCCCACCGCTTCCTTACGCAATTTGCTGGGAGGCATCGCTCAAAGAAGCACTTCTCCCACCTCCTAAACGTGAGACAACAGAAGGAGGAAACCCTTCGGAGTTTCCTGGAACGCTGGAGGCAGGCCTCCCTCGAGGTCGAAGGCGCTGATGACAGGACACTAATGGCCCTCTTCCACACCGTCCTCCGCAACGGTAACTTCTCCCGGAGCCTTATCACTGATCCCCCCCGCGATTATACAAAGACCCTTCAGCAGGGGGACCGATATGCTGAAGCGGAGGAAATCGAGAAGGACCGCCGCAACACGGATCCTTCTCAGAAGAATGAAGGCAGGAATCGGCCCGGAGGGCCTCCCCCTCCGGTCAACCGAGAGGCGCAGTACAACGATCGCTCCTGAGGTGGCCAAGCCAGACCCGGGGGCGGTTACAAGAATAATCCGAAGGCATGGGCGCAACCCGTCCTCCTGGAGCACCCACGCACTCCCCTGACGCACCCCGTCAGCGTCATCTTGGACCATGCAGAAGAACGAGGGCTGGTGGAGCGAGACTCCCGTACACCCCTCGAGATTTATGCCATTGGTCCTGATGAGCCCTATTGCCGCTTCCACCGCCACCATGGACACAAAACCGACGACTGCCATCAGCTGAAAAACGCCATTGAAAGGCTGATACAGGCGGGCCACTTGTCTCAGTTTGTCCGGGGCCCTCCTCCCCAGGGCCCCCCACATCATCAAGGCCCTCCGCCGAAGGCAAACAAGTGGGTGAACCCCAACACCATTCCTTTGGGAAACCCACAGGGGAAGAAACGTGAAATTGGGGGCCTCGATGACGAGGGAGAGGGCTCCCACCAACAATACAAGCGCCACATCCACATGATTAATGGTGGCAACACTGGTGGAGACTCCACCAGCCAGCGGAAGAAGTGGGCTCAATCCCTTTACGTTGGGGAGGTCAGCCACGTGCCCCCAACTAAGAGGCCGAGGGGGGAACCCATCTTCTTCACAGATGCAGACCTACCCTCGGGTTCTCTGCCGCATAGAGATGCCCTCGTCATCCGCACTGAAATCAATGACGCCATCATCCTCCGGACTTATGTTGACACGGGGAGTTCTGTCAACGTCATGTATCTCAGCACTTTCCAAGAGTTGGGACTCGACAGGGGGTCCCTTCGGCACATCAACACCCCCCTCTCCGGATTCATGGGGGACAGCATCGACGCCGAGGGCGTCATCACACTCATGGTCGAATTCGGCGACGGATCCCATAGAGCCAAGCTCGAAGTGGAGTTCGTCGTCATCAACCTCGACTGCGCACATAACATCATCCTCGGCCGACCTGCCCTCGAAGATTTGGAGGCCGTCATCTCCATGAGGCACCTCTGTCTCAAGTTCCCCACACCTACCGGCATCGGTTACTCGAGGGGGAATCAGAAGCTCTCCAGAGCCTGCTACCTTCAACTTACGAGGAAGGTTAGTAAAACCGAGTTTCGGATTGACACCATCACCGCCAGGGACCTGGAGGAAGAAGAAGGTAGGCCGAGGGCTGAGCCTGCCGAGGAGACCGAAGACTTGATACTCGATCCGGCCAAGCCGGAGAGAGTCCTGAAGATTGGAGCCAAGCTCCCCGAAGACCTGAAGGCTGGCATCACCAAAGCCCTCCGCGCCTACTCCATTGTTTTTGCATGGGGGCCGGAGGATATGCCAGGAATTGACCGAAGGGTCATCACCCACCGCCTGGCGGTGGACCCTTCGGCCAAACCAATACAGCAGCGGAGCAGACCCCTCTCGGCCGAGAGAAGGGAGTTCGTGAAGAAGGAGGTATCTATGCTCCTCTCCATCAAACACATCAAGGAGGTCAAATACCCTTCCTGGCTGGCGAACGTAGTCCTCGCACAGAAGCCTCCTACCTTCCGCATGTGCGTGGACTACACGGATCTGAATAAGGCGTGCCCCATGGACCCCTTCCCACTGCCAAACATTGATCAACTGGTTGATGAGACCGCGGGATGTGAAATCATGTCATTCCTCGACGCATTCCGCGGATATCATCAAATCTACATGCATGAGGGAGACGCTGAAAAGACCGCCTTCATGACACCCGAAGGCATCTTCTGCTATCTTGTGATGGCCTTCGGTCTAAAAAATTCAGGCGCCACCTACACACGCATGGTGGCTAGGGTGTTTCAAGCTGTCCTAGGACGCACCATGGAGGCTTACGTTGACGACATGATCGTCAAAAGCAAGAAGGCAGGCACTCACGCCGACGACCTCCGGGAAATCTTTGCCATCATGCAAAAATTCAATCTCCGGCTAAATCCAAAGAAATGCACCTTCGGCGTACAAGGTGGAAAATTCTTGGGCTATATGGTAAGCCGAAGGGGTATCGAGGCCAACCCCGAAAAAATTCAGGCCATCATCAATATGGAGCCTCCGCGCAACGTCAAAGAAGTTCAACAGTTGACGGGTCGCCTGGCGGCCCTCAACCGATTCCTCTCTAAGTCAGCCGAGAGGGCCCTCCCCTTCTTCCAAATCATGAGGAAGACAGCTGGCTTCCAATGGACATCTGAGTGTCAAGAGGCCTTCGACGAACTTAAGAAGTACCTCTCTTCTCCCCCGGTGCTCTCCAAACCGAAGGTGGGGGAGACCTTATACTTATATCTTGGTGTTAGCCCTTCGGCCATCAGCTCAGTGCTAATCCGAGAGGAGGACGGCGTCCAAC